CATGCTACATCATTGATATATTCCTCCAATGGAGGCTTAATGGACTCCATTATGTAATCAGTCATCTCTTCTGATATCTTATTAAGAAGTGTCTCCCTATCCCAAGCTCCTTGATGAGTGAAATATTTGACCTCTATTTTCTCTTCCACTGCATTGTTCTCCTCCACATACCATAGTACCCCTTGTTTAGTCCAATTATCAAACCAAAAGCTTGAGTTGCCTGCTTTTATTTGCCACCAGATGTTATGTTCTACCTCTTCTCTGACTGTGATCATTTTTCTCCAAACATGAGAAACACCTTGCCCTCTAGTCACTGTAGGATGCATTTTCTTACAAGACTTGTTCCACATGAATGATGCCCATAAAGATGATGTATTAATTCTGAATTTCCACCAAAGCTTTGCAAAAAAAGCTTTTGAGACATCATGTAATGACATGAAGCCTAGTCCTCCCTCCACTTTTGGATAACACATCTTATCCCATGCCACCCAGTGCTTATTTTTAGCTTATGTTGAATTACTCCAAAAGAACTTTGCAAATAACTTGTGCAACTGGTCTATTATGCTTTTAAGAGGGTTCATAGCAGCTAGCAAATAGACTGGTATTGACTGTAAAACATGAGCAATTAGAATATACCTTCCTCCAAAAGACATGAGCTTATTTTGCCAAGTGTTCATTCTGTTTGTAACTTTCTTCAACAAGTTCTCAAAATGACCTTTATTCTTTCTTCTATAAAAAATTGGACAACCCAAATATGTGAATGGGAAAGATCCTTGCCTAATGCCTGTTATCCTCTTTACTAGATTACACACTCTGTTAGGCACTTGCTCATGTAAATATATCATGCTCTTGTCCAAGTTGATCATTTGCCCTGACACATTTTCGTACCCTCTAAGAATGTTGATCATTTTCCTCATAGATGTAGTTTGTCCTGAGCAAAATAGGATGGTATCATCTGCATATGAGAGATAACTTACTGCTGGACTCCATTTAGGCATCCCATATCCTACATAATCAGGATCTTCAAACAGATTAAACCCCTTTACAAAACCTCTGCTGTAATAATGAAGAGTGTAGGTGATAAGGGGTCTCCCTACTTTAGTCCTCTAGTAGATTGAAAGAAACCAAAAGACTGTCCATTCATCAATACTGAGTACTAGTTATTGCTAATGAGCCTCACTATCATGTCTATGATTCTTTCTGCAAAACCAAAGTTTCTCATTACTCTCACCAAAAATTTCCATAAAACCATGTCATAGGCCTTGGCCATATCCAACTTCACCACAACATTATGATATTTGTTTCTTCTGTTGATGTCTCTAATTATCTCATGTGCCAACAGTACATTCTCAGTAATGTTTCTCCCTTTGACAAAACCTGTCTGATTTTTGGATATCAAACTAGGTAGTACAGTGGCTATTCTTTTATGTACAACTCTTGAAATGATCTTATTTGCAAAAGTGCTAAGACTTATAGGCCTGAGATCTCCAAAAGTGCTTACCAACTCCTTTTTAGGAATGAGAACCAGATTGGTGTGTGTGATATACCTGGGCAGTTCTTGCCCACAAAAAAATGCCTTTGGTCACATCCTCCCATACAATATCCCAGCAGCTCTGAAAAAACATACCTGAGAAACCATCTGGACCACTAGCACTATCTCCATTAAGAGCAAATACCACTTTTTTGACTTCTTCATTAGTGGGTATTCTCACCATAATTTCATTTTGCTCCTCTGTAATAATTGAAGGAATGTGTGTTAGCATACTGTAATCACTGACCTCTTGATCCTCCATGAACTGTTTCTTGTAAACATTGACAGCTTCTTCTCCAATATTTTGAGTTGTTGTGATCATGTCTCTTTCCCTTGTCTGAATTGCATTTATTTGCAGTTTTCTTCTTCTTCCCTTTACATAAGCATGAAAGAACTTTGTATTTCTCTCTCCATTCTTGAACCATTGCATTCCTGCTTTTTGTTTCCAATATTCTTCTTCTATATGCTTATATCTTTTAATGTCTGCCTTTGCCTTGTGAAGTTCTGCCCTGTTGCTCTCTGTAGGTGCTATCTCCAATTGAATCTCCTTCGTTTTGATCACATCTTCTAAAGTAGCTATTTGCTGAAAAACATTCCCAAATGTTTTCTTACTCCATTTAGCTAACTCCATTTTAACTTTTTTCATCTTACTGTGCACCACTGTAAAAGGATTGCCAGTAATTTCTCCCTCTTGCCATACATCAGCAATTAACTTTTTAAAATTCTCATTCTTTGTCCAAAAGTTTAGAAACCTAAAAGGTTTCATAACATGTTCCTGTGAAGTGTTGCATACTACATGTAGTGGTGCATGATCTGATCCTTGTCTAATCAAATGTTGAACTTCACTGTTAGGTAGTAGACTCATGAACTCCTCATTCCCAAATATCCTGTCTAGTCTCTCAAAAATGCATTATGTCTCTACTCTTCCATTCCACCAAGTATATGAACTTCCCTTGAAACTAAGTTCATTTAGAGCACATGAGCTGATACATTGGTTGAAGTCTATGGTTTCCATCTGGGTTACTGGTAATCCGCCCAATTTTTCTGAATCATTTCTAATTGTGTTGAAATCTCCCCCAACCAACCATGGTTTTTGCATGCTGCCTGCTATATCCTCTAGTGATTCCCACAATTCCAATCTTTCTAATGCACTGCAGCTTGCATATACTGTTGTAACACTGAAAATATCGTTGGTTCCCCTTTTTTTAAAATTGACCGTGAGTTGTTGACCAGTATCATTATAATCTTGTTCTTCCCAATCATTCTCCCAGAAGATCCATATTTTCGCTGAGCTGCTCACCTTTGCTTTGGGCATTCCCAATTTGATTCTGTACCGCTCGAGATGTGCTGGATTTTGAAAAGGCTCTAACAAAGCAATGTATGAGTAGTGATTCCTCCTATATAGGTCAATAAGTCTCTCAAAAGATTTTTGAGTTCTTACCGATCTAATATTCCAGAAAAGTACTTTATTAATCATTGGTTAATAGTGGATGTGGACCCCTTCTTGCTCCTTGTATAAATTTGTGATTGTGTTTGTAGTTTCTCCCCTTTCTTGTTCTTCCCCTGTAACTGATTAATTTGCCTTGGTGACAAGTCCCCTTCTCGTCCTATACTTTCGATGTTCCTTTGCATACATTCATCCTCTTCTGTGTCCTTTTTCTTCATCTTTTCTTGTTCTGTCAACTTATCTATAACTGGTGCTTTTAATATCTCTTGTACTCGGTTGTGTATATCTGACTCCCCTGTTTGACTGTGTCCCTCCTCTTGTCCAGTGTGTGGCCCTTCATCGTCATTTTTCTTTCTCTCATCAGACATTTGATTTACTCCTCCTTTGTTTTCTAAAATCTGCGCAGAAGATGGCGCTGAGCTCAGGGCTCTAATATCTCTGTTAGCTGAATCTTTCACTCCACTATAAGCATCTGTATGACTGTCTTTTGATTTAGAAATCACAGGAATTTTGATTTTTTCATTGTTTGCTACCGCTGTCTCATCCTGACCCATATTCTCACGTGTTGTGTCTTCCTTGGTAGGCAATTCTTCCTCATTCTTATGCTCTCCTTCCTTTGGTACAGATTCTGTGTCCCCCAAAGCTTCAAACTTATTGGTGGTGATGACTTGATCATTTTGTTGTTGTTTTGGATTCCAAACCCGCTCCAATTTACCACGCAAAAAAAATCTGCCCTTTCTGTAACCATTTTTCCTCCTTTGTTCTTGAAAAGCATTGGATTCTCATATTTTTCCTTTTCCTTTTCTTAACCTTTCTGTGTCCTCTTCCTCCTGCTCCATCTCCCCTTCAGTATTCTTATTTTCTCTTTTGTTTGCTTCTTCATCTTGTCCTCCTTGGGATATAATTCTGGATGTATAATGAAACATTCTTTTTCATTGTGTCCTTGTAGCTTGCAAGTTTTACAATACTTCGGAACATAATCATATTTAATTATGATCCATTTTTCATTAATTTCCCCCGTCTTCTTCTTCATTACTATATTAATTCTTTTTGGAAATTCCCCCATCAGATCCACCTCCACCTTGACCCTAGCACAACTAGGTCTCGTCTTGTTTTGAGTTGCCATATCCACCTGTAGAGGTTTCCCCACTGCAGCAGCTAATGAGAACATTGCTTCCTTTCCAAAAAAGTTTGGTGGTAGCGATGGAAAGGATATCCACGCTATAGCAATCGATGTTTCCTCCTCTGGATTAAATAATGGATCCCACTTGAGAGTTCGCATAGGGTAGGACCACTTTTTATGTGTAATATAGAATTGCGGCTTCGATAAAAAGCTAACATAATCTTCCAACAAAGTAGCCCTGATCAAAATATATCTATTACTCAGTAATCCTATATTCACTTCCCCCTTCAAGTCACATTGTTTGGGAATTAGCTTCCTTAGATCTTGTATGTCCTGCCAGCCGTATGAAAATTTACCAATCATTGCATATTGTAATTCCTCATTAATGATCATCTGATCTACTTCTTCCTCCTCCCATATTATACGTGGTTCCCCATGTAGATAGGCAATCTGCTTCAACGATAGTGATTTACATTGTGATTGTGGTGGCTTTATGACATTAGCATAGGATCGTTTGTTTGGTTCAGGGATGATTGTCGCTGGCCCTACCTCCATTATAGGAGGTTGGCCAACGGCCGGCGTGGCCATATTTTCCGATTGACTAGGCAAAAATTAGGTTTCCGTGTGCAATTCTTCCAATTCGGCGGGAGGATTTTAATTTTGTGATAAAAAAAAATGTCTTTTTAAGTTATAGTTTAAAAAGATAAGTTAGAATTTAAAATATATCATGATCGTTTAAGAACATGTATTCAGAATTATATTTATCAACTAATCGCGCAACACGCGGGCACATATACTAGTAATTAGTAATAGTTGATTCATTAGCATTGGGCTTTCACGAGCCAAACGCCACAATATCTGGAGAGATTGGGGAAAGCGTTTGTCTAGGGTTACCGTTACTGCAATTTTTCATTCAGCAGTGTGATATTGCCATGTCGGAGGTTCATCCTCGTGCGGGGAAGCGAAAACTGGAAGAGGATTGTTTAGCGACGGAAGGTCATGGAGTAGAAAAGCCATTTCAGTATGTTATTAAAACTTTCATTGGTAAGGATGGAGAAGAATACTACGATTCTGATGATGATGAGATTAGATATGCAGATGGCGGCAGGGTGAGCGTCCGACATCAGAAAGAGTACTACAGGCAGATCCGGGAGAGCGAGGTACGTCGTGTATATATATAAAATAATAATGGTTGTGTCCGGCCAGCGTATCGACAGATGGGAAGAATAACAATTTGGAGTAGTATTTTCTTATTCTACTTGTCCGTTTCTTTTGATTTGTCCTTTTTTTGTTGGTGTGCAATGTAATAGGGTTTTGATATCACTCTAGATTTGGAATTGGTAAACGTATTTGTGCTTCTTTTATGACACAACGGGGTGAGGAGAAGGACCCATTATTTCTTCAACTCTCCCACAAAGCCATTGAACATTTCAATTCAGAGCATGTAAGTTGGGTGGCCACGTTCTTTTCCGGTTTTTAAAACTAAGTATTTTATGTAATTGATATTTGGCTTCCTTGCGTTAGAATACAAATTACAAATTTGTGGAAATCGTAACTTTGAACACGTCACCTGCTGCTGGTATATGGTGTTATATCACCTTTCTAGCCACAGATTCTGATGATTCCAATGCTGCAAAGACCTTTCAAGCTTTGGTATGGCGTGGAATAAATAAAAAGATAGAAGTGATATTTTGCAGGCTTAAGAAACAAGGTAAACCTTCTTATATATTCTTCCTTTGTTACTTGCATTGCTTATATATGTGCTAATCAGTTACCCATACTGTGCATTAAGTTCTTGTTAATTTTTTTGTTTTATTGCCTTTCCAACCAATATCATGCTTTGTTTCCGTATTGTTAAAAATATAAAAATGCTAATCCAACCAACCCATGTTCATTTTATATAGCAACATGATGTTGGCTGATTAACGTGTAAGAACATCCCTGTATTAATAGTTGAGTTAAGTTTGCGATGTAAAAGGCAAAAACTATGTATACATGGTGTTTATAAAGTGCTCTGTGTTCCATCATAAGCCTTTGTTTAATTTCTTTCCAAATTGTTGACACGAGAATCAAGGAGCATGTTTGCATGAATCAATACTACGTCTTCAATCACATGCTCTTTGATTTCGCTGATCGGAGTAGGAGAACTCTATAATGGCGGGTTGGCTGAGAACAGTTTCCGCTTGTAACTAAGCTACCTAGGTACTTCGAAGATAAATAAACTGTTGTTGACATTTTCAAACATCACTCGTCCAATTCGACCAAGTTCAAATTCAAATGGGAGTCCCCTAATCAAAATGCCAATTAGTAATAAGTATTAAAGGCAAGTGATCATGATCTTTCGCTCATCAAAGACTTACTAAATCGACATCATTCTTCTTGTAGAATTTCTTCAATCACCCCTTGTTACCTGCACTCTACAATCTTGTATCTCGTTTCACTTTTTTTTCTTACCTCTTATTGGAGCTAATAGATGCCCTTAATTAGTTTGAGTTTGTCACACCCCAACATCCAGTGACATACTTGACCCCAAGCGTACCTAGCTGGACATATATGCAATTGATGTATACGAGCAGCCACACAACAATTACTGGTAAATAGTACTTAGCAAGTAATGCTAAGGCCGTAGTCAGAGAATCCCATTCTCTAGTAGGACATGAGTTTTCTTTCACATTAATTATGTTATACCTGAAAAAGTCAAATCCCTTTTCATTGCAACTTGTCTTTCTAGAGAGCATGGTCTGCAATTTCTGGTTCAATTGGAGCTGTCAAATTGTTGTTTGTATAGACTGGAGATGATGAGAAACCTGATGCTTTGAATTTACCTTGACAGGTGATAAAAAACCTCTTGATTCTGATATTGATGTCAAAGCTACGCAGTGAGCTTGCCATTTCTTTAAGCTACCAGCGGTTATTATTTGTGGTTTATTATTACAACATGAAAAAGGTGTTGGTATTTTTCATATACTCTTGCAGTTCAATGAATGGTTATTTGTGTTTTTAACTAACATTATCACTTCCGTGCAATGTTATGCTTCTATTACTTGTTGATCTGAAGAGAACACGTTTATTGTTAATTGAATAACTCGTTCAACTCTATAAGTGTTGTCATGTTGCATCTTGCAATGCTAGCTGTCGTAGTTTGAATGGCCATCTTAGAACAATTATTGGATGTGCTTTGCACTTTTCCCTCTTTGCCAAGCCAAAAATCAATCAAAGACTATTTAAATATGAAGAACGGTGGTAAAGTAAATACAATTGTAACTTTAGACTAATATGCCTTAAAATATATTTCACCTTTTAGCTATTCATCTTGTTCAACATATGCGTCACAGAGAGCCAGAGAGCGAAAGTGCTGCATTTGTTAAAGAGAAAGCAGAACTTTCCAGATTATTTAAGTCCATTTATGTAGAAAGAAGCCAACCTTGTGCGGTTTGATCTTATTTCATAAAAGAAATAAAAAAAAGTAATATTCAAAATATAGTTGTACGTCTTCTCATTTTGATTCGATAGTTGGTAGAAATAAATGGGAATTTCACATGTCAGCTACAGCTTCTAGTGGGAGCATGTAAATTTATTTTTATTATGTCAACTTCAGGCCAAAACCCTGAAATTTTATGAAGGGTGTGCAAAATTTTAGTGAGTGGATTCACATTTATCTTGTTCAACCTAGTGATTTTACCTTAAACAACATAAATAATTGTTTTTCATCAAATACAATTTGTCTAATTTTTTATCTTCAATTTAAGATCTCAATTATTTTTTTAAAAAAAATCTTGAATTTGAGTTGCGTTTAGTTATAAAAATGCATGACAGATTTTATAAATTGAGATAATAGTTTAAAAATGAATGAGTCAAGTTTTTTAGTGAACACGTATTGCATATTCAAGAAAAGATAACACTAATTTATCGAATTTTACTTGAATATAAAGTTATTTTCAATCTTTGATTTTGTTATTTAACTTTAATGGATGTTAAGTTTCTTTTGTGTTTCGGTAGAGAATGTGTGAAAATCATAATAAAAAAATCCAAATCTTAGTTAGTTCTCTTGATTCACTTATTAAATCATGAAAGAAATTTACCTATAATTCAAAAAAATAATTTTGATTCACTTGTTAAATCATGAAAGAAATTTACCTATAATTCAAAAATAGGAGAGAATGAAAAATATACTGAGACAATTCAAATCTCCCATTATCCTACTAATTAGGAGAGAATGAAAAATATACTGATATATATGTAATTGCACATAATTTTTTTTCTATTTTTTTGGTAGGTTTTATCATGTTGTTGGCATTTCTTAATTACTAAAAAAACGTGACCAAGTAAATGATCAGAATGTCACAATACTAATATAGAGTTCCATGGGATATAATTGGAATTTGCTTAGATAAAATGTCATTACAAGATTTTTGGTAATATAAAGAAAGAGAAATAAAATAAAAATAAAAGTCGTCATCAATACCAAATTAAACTAGCCATGGAAGTATAAGAAACAGTGAAATTTAGGCTAAGCTACAAATACTAGAGTAATAATCTATACAACTTCAAGTAGTCTACCAGCCTTTCTTGTTTTTGCTTCCACTATTACTAGAATTATCTTTTGGCTTCTTCTCAACTATCACGTCACTAGCTAGGATCATAAGGAAACATATACACATCGTTAGGATAGCACAATCTATATAGCAAATCTCGCTTGACTCTTCCATCCCCCCAATCAACATTGTATGTGTTCTTAATTATAAAATGTTTTATACCATCCATAATCCCGTATCCAACTATAAGTACTGAGTGTGATCCAGCATACGCTTTATCATCCATCCCTGTATATCCCATGTATACTCCCTTCAATGAAATCAAAACAAAAAATTAAGATTTATATAATACAAGGAAAGTGTAGAGATATTATCACAATTATATATTGTTTTGTGAAAAATCGAATGTATAATGAACAAAGTTAGTTATTACCTTTCCCGTGAAATCTTGAAAGCTTTGAAAGAATTATAGGCTGTCTTCTCAATATTTCCTTTAATTCTTCATCAGTGACCAAATGTTCCTCCTCCAGGTTAACACGGTCTGAATTACTATCCTCAGTACGAACACGAGTGATATGTCCAATTCTGTATTTCAATGCCTAAAAAATTTCAAATAAAAATAAGAAACACGCGCGGTGAGTTTCATATAATAATAATGTTGATGCTAAAATATTTTAAAATAAAAAAGAAATATATACCTGTGTGGGGACGGGTGGAATAAAAGCATCCTCCGGCCTAAATCCTATGTTGGGATAATCCTCCTTCGTGCATAAACCGGTGTATTGCGCATACTGAAGTGCATGTAGATGTGATCCTAAATAACAACCCGCATCATCTTTTTCTTTGCCCTTGTTCTCATACTGAAAGTCTATTGGTAGATGATCCGCAATCTGTTGTACCGACAATTCAACTGGTGGCCGATTCTTATCTCTCGCAAATGATGCCGATACGGCTTCAGTAGTGCTATAGGAATAGCACACATCTTTGAAAAAAAATTAAAAACAGATATATTAATGTTAGGAACACCTTATACCTTTTCTACTATTTATTATACACATAATACGTACTCATATTGCGTTGATCTCTAACATATGGATAGAGAATACCATCATCTTTTAAGTTGAACTCTTCATCAACATGTTCATTCGCCATGATAAAAAATGTGTGCCAAATATTATCACTGTCAACAAATTTAACCAATCAAATTCAGAAAAAATCATACAAGTATTAAATTAAAGAGATGTACTGAAAAAAAATTCAAATGTTATGGTACACATTGCAACTATTTATATATACAAGTTCAAATTTTTTATCTTTGTCTTTCTATATAAAAATATGTATTACCTTCTATAACACCTCGAAAGTGTAAAAGTTAGCTTGGAAATTTGAAAGTTGTTGTTGCACTGGTTCACGAGTGGCATGTAATATGTATGAGAAACACATGGTTCAATGAGTCGTGGATGCCCAATCGTGGTTAGTGCCTTAGAAATTTGGAAAATGTCAAGTCTTAAACCATGTTGTACGAGTCACCAGTACGATTCGTGGTTGGGTACAAGAGCTATAGTTAGCCTGGTAGACTTGGCCTTCAAAAAATTGTATTTGGGAAGTATGAAGGAGAATGACGGTTCGTAGAAGGGAAGGCGGTCTGTACTTGGTTATCATGGTTCGAGGCATGAGGACCCAGACATATGTTTGAGACTCAAGTGTACGAAGAGGGTATACTAGTTGTGCAATGGTTGACGACTCATAGACTAAGGGTCGTGGTTGAGCATGTGAGCTGATTATGATCAACTGTATAAATACCACCCATGTGTAACTCGTTCCGTAAGATTGAATGAATGAGAATTGGGATTTTCTTTGATCAGCTTCTTCTTCTTCCTTACACTGCTTTCTTCAGTGTCTATTTAGCACATAGAAGAACTCCAACTATGGGAGTTAACACTTGGGTCGTGACACCTTCATGCATTCTTTTTCATTGAAAAGTTCACGACTTGCTAAATTCCAAATTAAATAAATCATAATAAAATATTTCCAGAATCGATCAACTCATGTATGAAGCACATATGCATATACAAAACTGAGGGGGGCTTACGTGACTTCAGGGGTTGATGCAGATATTGCCAGCCACTTGAACCCAACAGCTACTCCGATCCTATACTGGCTGCAAATAATGGATACACCTGTAACAACACAGCTGTCAGTTTGTTCAGATTTAATCACCAAACAATAAAGAACCTACCAGCCAAAATTCCTCACATATATATATGCATGTAGAATAAATGCACTGCTACATGCATTCGTTGCCGCTATAGCTCTATGACCCAAATTTACAAATACTCCTTTTCTAGGGGCAAAACTTGAAGAATTAAACAGACCTCAGGCCTCAGCCATGGGAAGAGGGAGCTGGGAATCAGAAAATGCATAATCAATTGCTGCCGATCAATGACCTTTACTGAACTACAGAGACCAAACAGTTACTACTACATAAGCACCCGTTGCATTCCATATGCTAGATGTATGAGCCAAACACTAAAATATAAAGTTTCGAGGTAAAAAAAATGAAGAAGATTAAACTTGAAAAGTAAAACAGAACTTGAGCCTCAGTTTACGGTGGAGTTAACCATGGGAAAACGAAGATAGAGCTAAGCTGACGATGAGCTTTACGGTGGTTACCCAAATTACAGAGAACAAAAACCCCGAGCTAGTAAATACACTGTACTACTCCCCTACACGTACATTGCCTTAAATCTATAACTCATCAAACACTAAAGTAGCAAAAATTACTCGGGCCACAGTTTACGGTGGAGTAAGCTAGTGCTAAGCTGACGATGAGCTTTACGGTGCTTACACAAACTACATAGAACAAAAAAGCGAATCGAGCTAGTAAATGCACTGTACTACTACACATGCACCCGTTGCCTTATGCTAGATCTAGAACCAACCCTTAAAATAGCAAAATTAGTCGACCGGGCCACAGTTTACAGTGGAGTAAGTATTAAAGGAGTCACTTAGAATAGTTAGTTAACTTCTTGAAAGTTAGTTAATTAACAGATTGATAGTTAGTTAGGATTAGTATAGTTAGTTAGAATTAGTTTCCTTTTAAGTTCTATATAAGTGTACTCATAAGTTTTATTTTAAAAAAAACTGAATAATAAGAATTACAAGATTATTCTTTCTCTCAAGTCATCTTCATTTTCTTCTTCTCTTCTTCTTCTTCTTCTTGTCTCATCTTGATAGATCAGATCTGTCACATTAATAGATCAGATCTGTCACATTAAAACGATTTCAGTAAGCCATCGGAAAATGGAGATAGAGCTAAGATGACGATGAGCTTTATGGTGGTTACCTAAACTACAGAGAACAAAATACCGAATCGAGCTAGTAAATGCACTGTACTACTAGTACACATGCATCCATTACCTTATGCTAGATCTGTAACCCAACACTATTAAAATAGCAAAATTAGTCTGGCCACAGTTTACAGTGGAGTAAGCCACTGGAAAACGGAGATAGAGCTAAGATGACGATGAGTTTTACGGTGGTTACCTTAATTATAGAGAACAAAAAATCGAATCGAGCTAGTAAATGCACTGTACTACTACTACTCATGCTATCATCCAAACACTAAAATAGCAAAAATTCAAAGGGCAAATGAAAAAAAAACTTGAAGAATGAAACAGACCTATCTGTATACGCCGGAGGAAGCCATGTAAATCGGAAAATGAAGGATATCTCAAAATGATCGAGTTATTCTGGCGATGATTTTTCCGGTGGTTACCAAAACCCCGTATAGTAAAAGCACTATATATTGTACTACTACACAAGCTCCCGTTACCTCTAATGCTAGATCTATAACCGAGAGTAAAATAGAAAAATTCCGAGAGAGTATTTGAAGAGAGATCGATGAGTCAGGAGAAGTAACAAATTATCACTGAGGTGAAGTTTCAGTGGTAGTGCTGATATAGTTTGTAAAAGTTTTTGGTGCAGTACGGAAACGACAGTGCTGCAATGCTAGTTCCTTGCAAATAACACTCATCATTATAGATTTTTTTGCTTCTTCTATGTAATACTTACTCTACTAATATGGTATATTAGACTGAATACTTTTTTTTTTTATCGAATTTATACAATATAGTCATTCGATTTGAGATTTGAACTTTTAAAATTTTAATTGTAAATTTAGATATGAAATATTAAAGTTCTTTTGAAATATAATTTGCATATTTAAAAGTTACTTAAAAATATATATGAAAAACGAAAATTCAAAAGCTTATGCAATATTGTATTCAATATAAAACTCGCTTGACTTTCAAAATTCAATTTTTTTTTTTTGATAAATTGGGATGGTGAGAATATTAAGTATTTACATGCATGGCTATAAGGGTTTGAGTGTATGATATATATATATATATATATATCAGTACGTATGTGCGTAATGTATATTCCTCCCATTCAGTTTTAAATGATATTACACAACAATGGTAGTGGTTAGAATTCTTTAAAACTGAAAATGATTGCTCAGACTTATTCATTAATTAAAATAACATTAAAAGTATATATTAAAACAAACTAATTAGGATTTAGGGTTAAAATAGTGTTATTTTTGTGGCATGCATATGATTTAGGAGTATGTATTGTGTATTAGAGTTGAGTTTAAGTTTTATACTACATCAATATAAATAATTTTTGACACTATCAAGTCATTGAAGGTATATTTATAAGGTAAGCTCATAATATATATATATATAAAACACATTCACACATTTTTTTCAAGAAAATGTTTTTAATAAATATAAAAAAATCCACACAAAACAATCCAACTCCATCATCATTCAACTACCCGGAAAGGAAATGCTGCACATGAACAAACGATTAACTTTCAAAATAATTATTTTGATATTACTTCCTCCGTTCATGTTTGGTTTGGTAGTAAATGATGCATCCTTGAGAAACAACAAATAGATGAGTAATTTTATTATATCACAGATAGTAATTATAAGTCATCTAAATAAGAAAACAAATAGTACTATTATTTAATAGCAAAAGTAAACACAAAATAACAAATCATCTCTTCATTTTTAATTACTTATCTTTTAATAATAAATTGGACCTATAAAAATGGAAGGAGGCTTTCTATTTATTTGAGTTGAAACTTTGAATAGCCAAAAATTAAAGAACATCATTACTACTAGAAGCAGTGTTGTCTTTTTATTTTTTTTAAAAATTAATTAATGAAACAAAGGAATTAATTTTAAATAAGAATAGTTTCATTAATATCAAAGTGTCAGAAATATACCCACTACAGTTATAGTATGCTCCAAGTAAGAAAAACTAAATCATAGTCTTGCGTTTAATTTTACTTATCTATTTTAAGTTTTAAATATTTTTTATAAATAATAATTAATATAATACCTATAATTAATGTTATGGACAAAATATAATTTTTTTTATATATAAAATAAAAATAAAAAAGTATTTTTTAAAAAATAAACAGATAAAAGTGAACCAGAAAAAGTAGTACTTTCAAGTTTAGCTTAAAAAGGAAAGACTTGCATTTGTAAAAAGCCTTTGTATAGCTTTTTCGGCTTTCTCTTTAATATTATTTTTTCTTTTTTTGGCTTTCTATTCATTTTATTTTCGAAAATCCAGACTATTAAGAAATGAAAAAAATGGAAGCTGACTATCTTTGTTGAATTGTTGGGAAAGAAAAAATTCAAATCAAGTACTTATCCTAATTCCTAGATTAATTAAATCAATAATATTTCTTAATATAACATGAAAATTGCAAAATGTCTCGAGCATTTCTAGAATTATGCAAAATTAAAGGAAACAATACCTTTTTTTTTTTTAAATGTAAGTTTTCTTTTCATTGAGAGAGTACGGGTAGCAATCATTAAGATTAAATTAAGCTATATAGATTCAAACTACAGTCAAACCTCGTAATTTTCTTGAGAATTAATTTTTTATATTACTATTTTTTTACTTCTTTATAATAATATTCTACTTATAACAATAATGTTATTCATTATAAGTTATAGCATTATATTCTTTGTAAGATTTGGTTTGGTATGAGGGGGTAAAAATAAATAATTTTGGAATAGAACAATTATTAAATTCTAATGTCTTGTTTGGTTGTCACATTTGAAATAGCTTATCCCATTATTTATACTATAGTCATGGGATAATTTATATCATATACATGGTGAATAAGTTATTCCAGAATAGTCATTCTCAAATATTGTATTGTAATAGTAGTACCTTGTATGAAATGTGTTATATATAAAATAAAATATTAAAAATATTTGTGATAATCATCATCATTATCATAAACATACTAAATTTTAGGTACAAATATTTATAAAAAAATATATATTTAAAAAATGTTCATAAATTATGATCGTACTCATAACTTTACTAGAAATATTTTTATTGTATGCCTTATCAATATATAATTAATGAATTATGAAAATTAATTGATACTACTTTGAATTTAACAAATACTCCTATTTTAGACTGTCAGCTACCAGCCTCCAATTTTCACAATACCGCCGAAAAGAAAAAATATTCCCTCATTTTTCTTCACTAATTTTTTTGTTTCTCTCACAAAAAGAAAATTCACGGTGGCGTCTTCACTAACTGCAGGTGCTAAATCTTTCAACCGCGATGACCGGAGAATACACGTCTCTAGTTCTCACAAGCTTTCATCTTAGTCCAAAGAGTTTTTCGTTCAAACTTGGTCAGTCCAAAATCTCTCACTGAAGAGTTCAAATCGGTTGCATGAGAGTCAAAATTGCTAGTTTTTCACTAATTTTCGATAGCCCTAACTTGTATGGTTCCAGAATCGTTAGTAAGTTATTGTCACTCCCTGAGGCTATCCCAGTACGCGGACACGGGACCTAGGATCACGAGTGACCCCAAGCTAACCCTGCTGGCATATCATAAGCATACTAAGATTAACTAAATCAAATAATATTGTGCGGAAGCTAATACTAAAATGATGGGGAATACCTATATACTGAATCTGAATAAAGAAAATTGAGAGTTTGAATACAAATGAAAAGTCAAACTCTAACACTAAAACTGAAACTAACTATGTCTGAAAATAAAGTCTCTACTGACTAAAAATGCTGGACATGCCCCAGCTAGATCTACCAAAAAACAAAAAGAAAATATATTGTATTATTATGAGGCCAATTTATTGTGAATATTCTGCCTCATAAATTTACTATTTCGTGTTGATATTTAAATGCGGCGATTGGTTTATAAGAGTCTTTAGCTTGTTTGTATGTGAATAAGATGTACATTTCTAGCTTAAGTAATCATTGGAAACAAAAGAGAAGAATGAGGTAATTACGATAATTGACTCATTAACTCCGTTGTTTTCAAAAGTTAAACATTGTTAGCAGTTGATCATAGATGTTCAAATATTTTTGACAAATCATTACTGGATGAAGTTTTTGATGAGATCTCACCATGTGTTTGACCATAATTTTTGAGAAAAATATTTGACATTAAAAAAATAAATATAATTCATAAGTTTATAGATTATAAACTCCGACCTACTTATAAAGTAGCATCCATCTTTTAACAATACCATAATATACTTGAGTGTCAAATAACAACAAACACATCATAAATACATAAGTTGAGTGATGTCTTGCTAGTGTGTTTCGCAAGCTAGCTAGTTAAAGTTGAGATTTACTAAAGAGTATGGTGTTATTTTTACAGTATCAAATATAAAAGTTAGAGTTAATTTTAAATTTTTAAAATTTCAAAAAAAATAAAATTTGATCCAATTGTTTTATTTTTTTTGGGAATTTGATTTTTTAAAATTTAAGAACAACAAATTATATGGGAACACTTTTTACCATGTTTTTTTTTCCATGGGTCCTTTATTTAGCATTGGGCTTTCATGGGCCAAACGCCACTATCTAGAGATTGGGGAAATCGCTTGTTTAGAGGTTACCGGTAAAGCAATTTTTCATTGAGCAGTGTAATATTGCGATGGCGGAGGTTCCTCGTCGTGAGGGGAAGCGAAAACTGGAAGAGGAGAGTGTAGAAAGCCGTTTCAGTATGTTATTAAAACTTTCATTGGTGAAGATGGAGAAGAATACTACGATTCTGACGATGATGAGATTAGGTATGCAGACGGCCGCAGGGTGAGCGTCCGACTTCAGAAAGAGTATAACAGGCAGATCCGGGAGAGCGAGGTACGTTTACATAAATAATGGTTGTTTCCGGCCAGCGTAACAACCTAGGGTTTCTTTTGATTTGTCCTTTTTTGTTGGTGTGCAATGTAATAGGGTTTTGATATCACTCTGGATTTGGAGTTGGGTACTTCTTTTAGTGCTTATTTTAGTACACATCGGGGTAAGGAAAACAAAATCCCAATTTTTATTGACCTCGCCCAGAAAGCCATTGAACATTTCAATTCAGAGCATGTAAGTGTTTATTACCTGCCACATTCTTTTCCGTTTTTTAGAGAAATAAAAATATTGATATTTGGCTTCCTTGGTTTAGAATACAAATTACAAATTTGTGAAAAACGTAACTGTGAACACGTCAACTGCTGCTGGTATATGGTGTTATATCACCTTTCTAGCCACTGATACTGATGATCCCAATGCTCCAAAGACCTTTCAAGCTTTGGCATGGTGGGGAGTCGATGAAAAGACACAAGTGAGTTTTTGCAGGCTTAAGAAACAAGGTAAACCTTCTAATATATTCTTCCTTTGTTACTTACATTATTGCCATGGGCTAATCAATCACCCTTGAGTTATTGTTAATTTGTTTGTTTTGTTGTCACTCCAACCAATATCATGCTTTGTTTCTGTACTGTTAACAATAAAAAATGCACCTCAATATAATCTTAAATAGTTGGAAGTTGAAACTGTCAAATTGTTGTGCGTATAGACTAGAGATGATGAGAAATCTCTCTGATGCTTTGCATTTGTTTTGGACCAACCTTGGCAGGTGATAAAAAACCTCTTGATTCTGATGTTGATGTCAAAGCTATGCAGTGAGCTTGTCATCTCTTTAAACTACCAGTTCAATGAAGGGTTATTTGTGCTTTTAACTAAGATGGGTAAAAAAGTGTTCTGATGTTATGCTTCTATTATATTTGATGTCTATATCTATGTACTAGTTAGTATTAAAACACTTCCAGAGTTCCAGTACCATATTCTCAGTTTTTATTATCACTTGTGGTACTGGCAGAGGCAATTATCATATCTTATATCTTAGTTATCACTTCCGGTACTGGCAAAGGCATACATGATACAACCAACCTTCGTTTCAATTTTTGTGTCTTAGTTACTACGAGTTGTCAAAAGATTTTTTCAAGAATAAATCTTATTTGTGAGAGGGTATACCCCATTCATTGAGCAAAAAGTACTGACTATGATTTTGATTTACTCCATAAAATACTAGATCAATACAAGAATTGAGATTTGACGATGGTCGAATTGAACTTTTGAATGCCATATCCTCCCCCTTCTACAATGAAGAATGTATCAAAAGAGTTATTTATTAAATGTTTCAAAATGCTCTACTGGATATGATCTGTAACTTGAATTATAAGTACCATGTGCATTATTAATATTGTAATCTTTTGTCTCCATAGAATTGCAGTATCACAAAGATTAAACCTAGGACTTGTATAAAAAAAAATGATAATGTTAAATCGTATGAATAATTTATGGATGTGGTAGAACTCTCGAATTGTGACAAACTATATGGACTGTTATCTATAGCGTTAACCATATCTGGATCACTGTACAACTTAATCCATATTTGTGTCGGGCTTTTAAATTTTAAAACCTAAATCAAATTAATTTCGGGTTTTCAACCTTGACTATTTTTGGATTTCTCGGAAGCTCGATTTTTTTTTGGTAAAATATTCAATAAATTGTATAATTAACTTGTGCTTCAAATACTTCTTTAGTCCTACTAAAATACAATTATATAAAGTGTTTTTATAGAAAATAACACAAAATATTATATGAGTGATGACACTAAAATATTCAATAAAAAATAATAATGAAATCGCATAAAACAAATATTGCAAATAAATAAGTCATAATGAAAATGATCATAATTTTAAAGACAATTAAAATTAAGTTATGTATTTTAATTATCTAAACCAATGTAAAACTAAATAACAAATATTCAACATTATTGTCATTCTTGGTGTTTAAGTAATTTGTTTTTAGCTTTAGTATTGATTTAATTCTAATTTGAGCTTTATTAGAATTACTAATATTATGGACTATAACATTTAAATTATTGGATCATCCAAAATTCTAAGTTAAAGTTGAAATAATATGTTAAAAGATAAAAATTACGAAAAAGTATAAGAAAACTTTATAAACTTTATCAAACCAATCTAAGTTTAGTCAATTTTTTTTTTTCAATACCAAACCAAGTAAAACAAAATCATTATTCAATTTTTTTTCTCAATTTGTAATTTAATGCGATTTTCGATTTGATTTTATTCACCCCTACTTGTTACAAACTAACAGAAGATGATGACAGTTGGGAAGCAATGTTTCAGCAGATGGAGAGAGGAGCGTCATGGCTAGAGGTCGAAGAAGCTTCAACCCCAGTGATCTAAGTGAGGCGATTCCTTTGAAGTAGCGAACCTATATGTGTGACTAAACTCGCCAATTAGGCCTATATTGATGAAAATAACGTTCTTATAATAGAAAACCTCCAATACGTTCATGCATTTGCTTGCCTTGCCGTTTTCATACATTTTTCAGTGAAAGCCTGAAGCTGAGACCTGAGAGCCCTAAGCCTGACTTTCGACGATGCTAAATCTCGGACTGACGACTCGTAAGCTCGCAGGGCTCATATGGTGTGAAGTGTATCTGGTTACAAAATTAGAAATTTCATTCTCTTTTTTACTATCTAAAATCGAAGAAAAGAAAGAAGGGGGAGATAAACGAGAGCTCAACATTAAGGATTACACTTGGGAAGCAATGTTTCCGTGATCTCCAAGCAAACGCTAGGAAAACTCTTTTAAATATTATATATTTTGTTTTGTCAGAGCTAATTAATTAATTAAGATCATGTATTGAAGTTTCTTAAAACTACTATATACAATATTCCAAATAAAAATAATAATACAAGCTCACAAATCAATCTCAAACGGGTGATTGATTTCTCATTTTTGTTCAAACTTCCTCTCAAAACTCTCTCATGTAGTGTGTTCTTTGATAAGGGCCTATGTATATTCCTGTCTTTTCCAATTTTATTCATGTTAAACTGCTTATTAAACTTCACATTACTGTATGAATTAGTTATATTTCCGTCAATTGAGAGCTTTCTCTTTGTCCAAAAATTATCTTCCCAACAAAAATAATCGCATTCACCATTTGTCTAAAAAAATTAACAAACAAAATTTTAATATTTGAAATTAAAATATGTAGTCAACTTTTTTTTTTTTGCTTTAACAAAGTAACACAAAACCTTACTTCTAACACTTCACAACCCCAGAACTTACGAGCCATATTTGTGGATTGTTTGGTAGAGTGTATAAAAATAATGTTCAATAGAGTGTATTAGTAATGCAAGCATTAATAATGCATGTACTAATTATATTTGTATTAGTTATGCATAGATTATTTCTTATGCATTGTTTGGTTTGGTGTATTAAAAATAGTATGCATTGTATAAAAATATTTATTTATAAAAGTATCCTTCACAATTATGGTGGAAAAGATGTAAAAGTACTTTTGAGGGGTAATTGGGTCTTTAACCATATTAATGATGTATTAAATCTTTGCATTACTAATATCTAAAAATCCATGGTATTAGTAATACACTCCTCAATACACAATAGCAGGGGCGGATGTACATTGTGTCCAGGGGGTTCCTCCTCGGTAAAAAAATTACACTATATATATAAGATCAATTTTTTTGTGTACGTGTATATATTTAAAATTGAACTCCCTCAACATATGTCAAAGGATTAGCTTAATAGTTGATGGGGTTCAGGATTTCGCCTATGTGAGCTTTGGGGGGTCACGGGTTCGATTCTAGGCAACAACATCTTTTTTTTTTTAACCCCCTTGATAGAATTCTTGCCTCCGCCACTGCACAATAGAGTGTATAACTACATATCATGAAAAAATCCACCAAACAAGGAATTCTTAATACATATAATTAATGCATGCATTATTTTTGCAAATACACTCAACCAAACGACCCTGAGTTTTTGATGTCCGTTTGTCTTGAATACTTGAGTCTGTATTTATGAAAATTTAGTTTCCTTCATAAATAAGAATATCCGTACATATAAAACTGATATATAAAATAGAACGAAGAACAAGTAAAACATATAGTAATATATAAAACATATTGAATAACAAATAAACATATAATAATGCTATTATGAGTTAGATATAAAATATTGATAAGAAGTTAACCAAATCTTAACTTGTGTTCCATTTCATATAGAAGTTTCTCCTTTTCCTTATCAACATAGTCTAAAATTTTATAATTTTCTTGTAACTAAAGGTATTTTAGTCATTTTATAATTTTCTTGTAACTTTGTTAGTCCCACTTCAAATTCAAATTTGCACAAACGGTAAGTTTGAAAAAGTCAAGCATCTAAACATTTTTATTTTTTTGGTAATGAATAAAACTTTTCCCATACATTTTTTTTTTGTTTTGAAAAAGAGCTTTCCCAAAATCTCTTTTTCCAAAAGGATCCAAATTAAGTAAAATCTGGGCTTTTTTTGTAAAAGAAAATTAAAATGTGGGACCAAAGTTGGCCCATTTTGTCCATATAGCCCAAATAGATATGAAAAAAATAAAATAAAAAAATAAAATCCTTGGCGTGTAGTTATTGTTCAATACAAGAAATGAACCCTTTCATACGAAGTAACCTTACACGCTTTGTGCTAAAAATGGTTAACTATTGACTTCTTAAAAATCTTCCTTGCCGTCTCTGCTACCCCAAAGCACCGTATACTTTCGGTAACTGTTAAAAAAATTCAGTCTTTTTTCTCCCCTTTATGAATCTTGAAATTCATGAGTTTTTACTGAATGGGTTGATCTAGATTGTGGAATTTTCTGTTGATTTAAGTTAAAGATTGGATTTTTTTCAGTTTCTTGATTTAACCCCCAAATGGTCTGTTGTGAGAGTTCTGTACTGCCAGTTGACCAAGAAATAACAGTGGCTAAATCCCAGCAATTGGGGAAAATGAATCAAATCCAAAAGAAAAAGAACATGCCTAATTCCAAGAATTATTCTGGTTGTCAGCAATCTCGTTATGCTTTGATTGATGTAATGATTTTGATTGCTGTGATTGGTGCTTGTGGGGTTTTGCTGTATCCTTCTGTTAATCTTTTGGTGAATAAAATATCTGAATTTATCAGATTGATCAGTTCTGAGTTGAAAGAAGAGATTTTTGAAGCTCCAGGTTTATACATCTGTTTAGGACTTAGTATTTTATTTGCTGGAATAGCTCTTTGTGCAGTTGTAGTATGTACTGGCAGGAGATGTGGGAAACCAGGTTGTCCTGGGCTTAAGAAAGCTGCTGAATTTGATATTCAATTAGAGACAGAAGATTGTGTTAAGAACTCAAATCTTACAGCAGCAAAAGATGGAGTTAATAAAAAGGGATTATTCAAGTTACCTCGCGATCATCATAAAGAATTGGAAGCTGAGCTTAAAAGGATGGCACCTCCTAATGGAAGAGCTGTACTGATATTTCGAGGGAGATGTGGATGCTCTGTAGGTACAATGGAAGTGCTTGGACTGAAAAAGACTCGAAAGGTTAAGAAATAGGAGTAATGTTGTTTATCTGTAAAACATATTTTATACTGAAGCAGGCCTAATGATCAGATATTATAAGAAGATACTATTTCCTACAATAAGCTTATTGAAATAAATTTGATGAATTATATTTGTATATTGGAATCATTTCACTTGTTAGCTTTTAGATTTTAATTATGTCACTACTGTAGTAGTGGTATCTGCTTTATCTGTGTTATTAGTTTAACTGCACTTTATGTCTTCAAGGCTCCAGTATAAATCTTTTCTCAAGCTAATACTGTTTGTTCATTATCCGAATTTTGATTGTTAGACCTTTATGATAAATTTGTGGTTATGATCCTGGTTAAGAAAAAACGCGAGACTTCAAATTGCAGCAACTAGACTTTAAGGTATGCTTCTTTATTCCTACACTATATTCTTGATCTGATATGCTGGCGAAATAGTCTAGAACTTTTAAGTGTGCCTAGATCCAAGAGTGCTACAATCAACTTCTGCTACGTATGTTGTATGTAATTGCCAATTTTCTTGACAGAGTTTTCAATGAAAAGAATGTTTTAAACTGCTCAGCATAGTCATCCTAATATGTAAGGTGCTTCAGTCTGGACTTTCCTAGGGATACTTCGATTAGTGTATCATGTATGGCTGGTGTACTTTGATACTTCACTGTTCAATTATGTGAATACGAGGGCTGGCTTTTGTGCACTCTGTTTGATTCTTTAGCAGTATCTTTTGTGGTAAATTTCTTTGTTGTTTCTCCTTTCCCCTTTTCAGCTTTTGATCATGTTCGAAATTTAGGGAACAAAGTTTCTTAAAGGTTACAGTAAGTTTCCTAACAGAATTCATATGGGGTATCAATTGAGATTGCATTGTGACTTAAGCACTTTTTCTGCTAAAGAATTCACTTTACCATCACTACTGCAATGGACCATTCTGAAGCACATTAAATACTGTAGATGCCAGTGCAACTACTTAACTTGATCTTGGTGTTGCTTAATCTGCACTGGAAAGTGTCACAACTTTGGATGTTGGATGGTCCAACATAATCAACTGTGTGTGAATAAATCTTGGGACAATCATACATATCAGCTGATTGATTGTCTCATGAGCATATCTAGGGTGGGTTCTGCAGGCTCAGTTTAACCTGTTACTTTCAGTTCAATTTATGTCTACATATGCAAAAACAATTTAAAAGGCATACACTTATTATCTAGATTCTGGATTTACCTTCACTTGTGAGTACCCTTTGTTGAGTTTTCCATCTTGGCTAGATCAATGAGCTTAATTGTAATTTACTACATACCCCCGGTGTGTTCGGTACGGAGGAATAAGTTTCGAGAAAATATTTTTCATGAAAAACATTTTACACTCACAGTGTTTAATAATCCACAAGATGGTTCTGCTATTTCAGGTTGCAGAAGTTCACACTTATAACTAGAACTAGAAAAACTAGATTACTTGTACTAATAAATTGTACAATCAATTAGCTACATAATAACTTGATTTTCCCGTCTGTCTGCTTCATTATCTAGTTACATTATGGTATAATTTTCTTTATTTTATTTTTCAATTTGTGGGGTTCATGTTTAGATAACAAAAACATAATAATTTAGTTTGCTATGTCTAACACTTTTTTAGTGATAACTAAATTTAGTTGATAGGATGTCCAAGTTTAGTGATAAAAAACAATGTTTAATAATTTTACCAGATAAATTCTCAAATTTGAGTGACCTTTTGAGATATTAACTCGTTTTTGAAGGTTTGAGTTGAATTTATTATTGGAGTTGATTTGAAACAATTTGGAGCCAAAAAATGAATGTTGAAAATTTTTACATAGCAAATTACATTGATTGTCACGATTTTTGCCTCAAATCGAATTTCAGCCAAAAAAAAAATTAAAATGGAAAAGGGCAAAATAAATATACATATAAAAAATAATGTAATATATATATATATATATATATAACTCTTATTATATTTTTTATACAAATATATTCCTCCCATTATATTTTCAGGTTCAAATTTACCTCTATCATTATACTTTTATGTTAATTTATCCTTATTAATTTTTATGGAAATAAATCATCCACAATTTTAAATATCCAATTCACTTTACAAAATACAACTATTTAACCCACTCAAATCCCCTCCACTTTGAGTTGTTTTCTTTTCATCATCTTTTCTTCTTTTTTCAATGATCCGATAATTATTAAATCAGACTTTTAATTCAAGTCTTTGCTCCATCCATTTTTGGACACTTTTCCATTGACATTAAATATTAATGATTCGCTTATCAGACTTTTGAAATCTTTTCCGGCATTTATACAGTAAGGTTTTGATGAATTAAGGGGTTGGTGGGGTCCGCTTTCTTTATCAAAAGATTTAACGGTCATTTAGTAGGGTGTATAAGCAGGTTCGTGTATAAGAATAGTATTGAATATGATATGATAGTAATGCGGATACTATTCAATACTACCATATCATATTCCCTACATATCAAATATATTTCAGACTTTTTTTTCTTATATTTATATTAGTTATGCTGAGATTATTTTTTAATTGAGCAGTGCAAAATTATTTATTTATAAAAATACTATTCACAAATACGGTGAAAAGGATATGGAGAAAGCCACAATATTACTTACATCTTCCGGTGGCAGAATAGAAATGGCAAATCAAAGAATATGAGTAAAAATCATTGAGCTGGCTTCAGTTGGGATTAGCCCTTTGAGAGATGGAGTTAACTCTCATGTCACCTCCATATATCTGTAGCTATTCAAATATATGTACCTATAGTTTACTGAACATTGACCAGAGAGACGTAGGACATTTATTTTTATTGAAGAATGGTGTTTGATTTATAGGTTGTATTGTTAGCTTTGTGAGGAAGTTTTTAGAGCTTGGGACTGGCCATTGAGGCTCGATTTGATTGTATTTGCATCGCATGTTCAATTAAGGGGTAAATGCATAAAAATTGCACGAGTCTCTTGTTTAAAGTAGGTTGTATTGTTAACTACGTGCGGACGGTCCCACAACAGGCTCGATTAGTTTATATTTAAATCACCGATCCATTTAAGGAGCAAATGCGTAAAAGTTTCATGAGGCACGTGTTTTATAGGTGGTATTGTTAGCTTTGTGCGGATGGTTCTAGAGCTTCGACCTAGCCTTGCATTGAGGCTTGATTAGTTCGTATTTGCATCGCATAGGTCCATTTAAGGTGAAAACACGAGGCTAGTTATAATCAAATTATATATATATATATATATATATGCATGATCTATTCGAAGTAGCACAATTGTGTCTTTCATTTCGTTATTTTTGCCAAAAAAAAATACAGTTGACCTTAGCCAAATGGTTAAGAATGCATAAAAGAACAATGATCTGTTTGGAAGAGATTAGGAATAAAACTATGGTAATTTTAAAAAATCGTACTGATTAACATGGGATACACGTGCAACGTGTCTAGAAACTAGTCTTAAAATAATGATATTCATTTATATTTAAAAGTAATTTGGTTTTATAATACTTTAGTAATTTTACACTGACGTATCCAATTTCTAGAATCATCTGTATTCTTCTCCAGCATTTCAGAAAAATATTAAACGCAACATCTCCTCAATTTTATACCACTCTTCCAATTCTCTTCGATCATTCTCAATCTCAAGTATCACCTTTCTTGCATTTTTTGCACAAATCTTCTTCAAGCTCAAACTAGGTATGTATCTTTCTCAAAGCTTTTCATCTCCTTTGTGCTCAAACTGGGTATCAGTCTTTACTACCAATTTGCACAACTGGGTTGCTCAACAATTGATGATATACCCACACTTATCGCATGAGCCTTTTCATGTTTTCTTATTCCATTTTTGTTTGTGGGTCGGAAACTCTGTGTAGAATGTTAACATGTTTGATTTTAAAGATCAAAGATTTCAATATATCTTTTTGGGTATCTTTTATGTAGTTTTATATTCTCGCAGGACTAATTATCAAGAATTGCACTATAGGAAATATTCAATTGATCAAGATGTCACCTACAGCTCCAATAGTAACTTCAGAGTTGTGGAAAATGTGTACTTCTATGAGTATATGTAAGTGTTAAATTGCAATTAAATGTGCTCAATCAATATGAAATGCCTACTTTTATGTCTAGACACTGATGTTGTTTGGATTCCACACCCACATCTATGTCAATATCCGATCTGAGTGTTCTTTTGGGGTGCTAATCATCTACATTAATAACATGTGCACAAATTATTTAAGGGACCTTAAATCTACGACTTCTTTTTTTCCAGAGTGTTTCTTCCCCTTTCCTACAGTAAATTCCCTTGATTTCCCCTTTCGCACCGTGGTTTTGTTCTAGCATTCTTCAAGCTCTCATGAAAAATCATTAATGATTCCTTCCATTGCCCATGCTCTGCAACAAAATTACATCGAACTCCTCTGAGCGAACTGCAGATTTTGTATAAACTGCAGTTCGCTTGTTACTTCTTTGTTCTTCTAAATCCTAATCGTCTCTGTGAGGAATTTTCCTCCCTCTCGGTCCTGTAGGTGAAGTCTCTCCTTACTTTTATGTCTGCAGCGCAACCACTTTCTCCTCTTTTCTCCTGAGGAAGCAAGTCATTGATAACCATATTGTCCAACAATTATTATTATTAGTAGGGAGAAAATTGCTTGTTTCTTCCATTAATTTCTTAAAGTTCGAGATCAGGTGGCTATCGTTATATTTTTCAGGGATATGAAGAGGGCTTACAGGAGAGTCTAATAACCAATCTGCAAGATTATTTATGCTATTCGATGAGCTAATCGAAGCGTAGGTACCTTTACAAACGGAAATGCCTTGTTCATAGGAGGAATTATGATCATTGGAAATGCTAATCAAGCTTGGATTAGGTAGCCATTACTTCCATTGCATTACTTGTAGAATTATACAGTCTTCTTGAGTAATAGTTATCCGGTATCTCACCATTCTGGTCGAGAAGTAAGATGAAGGGCAAACAAATAATTTTCATCACTATTATCCATTTAATCTATTTTGTATCTACCATCGAATCATAAACTTCTCGATTATTCTTCTGCTCTTCTTCCCTCACAGTTTCTTGTTCTCTTTAATCTCCATTTTATACAATTGTTTCATTTGTTTTTGTATGCTATTC